AATAATAATAATAAATATTAAATTAAATTACAAAATATTCATTAATTTAGAACAGTTTTTTCCTTTTTTGAAATTGTTGTCAGATTAAATTTCTAATTATTTCTTAAATTTAATATCAAGTTAATAGTTCAATAAAATTAATTATAAATCGTGCAAAAATTGTTCATTTTAAAAATCGGAAAACTTTTTCTTCTAATAAATTTACTTTGTTTTTAAAATTTATAATTTTTTTCTCTTACTTTATTTTTTTCAACGAAAAAAAAAAGGAATATTTAAAAGTATTTGAAAGTATTTGAAAAAAAAAAACTGTTAAACTATTCTTTCAACGATTTTTTTTATTCAGTGTATTAAATTAATAAATAATAAATAAAATTATTTTGAAAAAAAAAAAAGGTACCTTAATTATATATGATAATTTGGTTAGAATTGATGCATTCACATAAATGCAATTTGGAAAACCTTTTTCACTATAAATTATACCACGAAATGGTTCATCGAATCGAATTTTAAACACAAAATTGCTCTAAAAATGCAGCAAAAGAAGAAAAGAACAAATCAGAAAAATTTATTAATAAATTATTATATTTTAAAATTATTTAAAATTGCATTTAAATAAATTGAAATATTAAAATCTTTGCATAGTAGATAAAAAGTGAATTATTATTGTTAAAAATTATTGATTAACTAAATTAATAAATTATACATTAAGATTAATTATAATTTAAAATTAAAGATTAATATAGAATTGAAAAAAAAGAAGGAAAGAAGAAAAAAAAAATAGATAATACAATCAAATGTGAAATTGTAGAACAAATAAACTTTATTTGTCTATGGAATTTAAGTTTTATTTGTGCAATATGCAAATAGAACAATACAACAAAATTATAATGCAAATAATGGAATAATAAATTATGCAGTTGCGATGTAAATAAAGAAATGAATTATGCGATTGCGATGCAAATAAGAAAATAATAAATTAATAGAATAAAATTACGATCAATAATGTAAAAAAATAAAATGCATGTTTGTATAAATATTAATAAAACATTTATATGTTAATAAAACAAAAAATCATAGTTTAATGTAAGTGATTTAAAAATTTTTTTTTTCTTCTTATGCAAGAATGAAAGCATAATATTAAACTGCAATTATATTCTTAAAAGGAAAAAAAATGATGCCGTATCCGATTTTCCGGTTTTACTCAAATTTATTTTTATAGATCTATTTTTATAGATAATAACAAAAATTTAACCCGATGCTAATTTTTCAATCAATTATTTTCAATGATTTTATATTAAAGAATTTTCGGTTCGATCATTTAATCCAAAATACAATATATAGGAAATAATTGATTTTCCAAATTGTTAGTAGCGAATTAGGAATTATTAAATGTTTTAAACTCTATTAACGATTAATAACTAGTAAATTAATTGGACAATTAATTAGTTAGCTAATTATAGTCATCAATGATCACATTTCATTGTTATTTTATTTTCTTTCTCTTCATTATTTTTCTACTTTTCCTTGCTTATCAGTGATCAAATTATTTGTTTGTTTACAAATTATTATATTTTCAAAAATGATATTTATCATCATTGAATTTAATAAATATAATTTCATTAAAATATATCACTAATTTTATTAATAAATGCTTAATTAAATCGTGTTTTATCGATTAGCTTAATTAAATATTCCGCATTTTTCGCCATATAATAAAAGCAAACTTTTTGATAGAAACAAATAGAAATTTAAAAAAAAAAATAAAATATCTCAAATTTAAGAAATATCCAAAATTATGTAATAATTGGAATTTTTATAACAAATGTTAATTTATATTTATCAACAGTTAAAATATGAAAATTTCATTTCAATGAGTTCATTCTATCAAGAAGAAAGAGAAAAAATAATTTATTTGACAATAATAAATAGTAATTGTTAAAAAGTAAAAAGAAATATTTGATATAAAAAAAGAAAAGAAAAAGAGTTGATAATATCAGAACAAAAAAAGATAACATTAGATGTAGGCTTAAATGATCGGAATTATAATAAATAAGATTTGAAGGACTTGAAAGGGTTAAAGAATAAGTGATAATTGATAATTAAAATGAATGATAACTGAATAGTTAAATTTTTTTTTTTTTGAATAAATAATTAAATAGTTAAAATTTTTAGATAAGTAACAAATGACTGAAAACATTATTTACCTTCTCTCATTCCTTATCATAAATAATTGAGAAAAAAGAAAATCCAAGAGAAAAACAAACAAAATGGATTATCAAATTTTTATATTTATTTTTCATCTTTCTTAGATGGATTATTCTCATGAATATCATAATTCATCCTTTTTTTCTCGCTCCCTCTCTCTCTCTCTCTCTTTCTGTCTCTCCAATTATTTGGGTCAAAATTATATTTCATTAAATTTGAAAATACTTTAAAAGGAAAAAAATAAAAGTTTCAAGAATAAAATACTTTAACGACATGATAAATATTAGAATTAAAATATATCTTAATCATATGCTTATCATCTATTCATTATTAAAATGGAAATTAGAGAAAAATTTATAATAAATAACATAATTTATTATCTTTATACTATCATGAAAACATTTTGATACTTCAATGGGTTATTAATGATAAAAAGTAATTTTATTGCAGTACAAAAAAAAAAAAAAAAAAAACCATTCATTTATCATTTATCAATTTAATAATACATCGAATTATTTAGTCAAAATTAACTTCAATAATATTTCACAAAATATTTACTCAACAAAAATAGAAATAAAAAAAGAAAAAATTAAGCTTAGCGTCAAAAATTCAATTTTTTTAAAATAAAAACTAAAAATAGTTATAAAAATATCACTTATTGCAATTAGATGATTTCAGAAGCATTTTATATGCCTAATTTAGGCTGAATTTTGATATAATAATTAAAAAAGGAAAAAAAATGATATGTTAGCAAAAAATCATAAAAAATAGTTTATTTTATAATAAGTATCAACATTCTTATGATGAACAATATTAACAATTATTGATATTCATAAATATTAAAAATTAATAGTACTTTGCTTAATACATTTTATCAGAATAATATTAATAGAAGGAATGGACGAAATGAATAAAATAATTATTAATTACATTTAATTAACATGTTAAAAAAAAAAAAAAAAACATTAATGATTTAAACAAAGTATTAAAAAATTTTAATTTTTAATAACTCAAAAGAAAAAAAATGAAAGTAAATAACTTAATCAAATATTCCTTCATTAAGAAAAGATAATTTGATACGAAGTGGAAAAAAAGAAAAAATTATTTACATTTAGCTTCAAAAAATTAATTTTCTTTTTATTTGAGAAATGAAAAGTGAAATGCTTCTCGAGTGAAAAGATGCAAGAAAGAGAGAAATTTTTTCAGTAAAATGACGTATAGTTTAGCATACTGACATTAATTAAATAACAAAATAAAATTTTTGCTAGTAAATTGTATTGAAATTGGATAATTATATTGCAACTAAAATTTATAATCAAAAAATACAAAAGAATTCAATCTATAACTGCTGGGAAACTTGCACTTTATTAATTTTTCAGTAATTTTCATTGAATTACCAATTTATCTGTAAAATTTAAAAGCATACATATATCATTAATAATTGCTGAATTATGTCAAAAAAAAAAAAAGAAAGAATAAAATAAAATATTGACAAAATGTTATTACTGGGAATAAATTAAAATAAAATAAATGTTAGTTTCAGTCATAAATAGAAAAACAAACAAAGAAGAATGCAATTTTATCTTACCATTAATGATAATAGCATAAATTATAGACTAAAATAATGGATAACGAATATTGAGCAAACATTAAATTATTTCCATCTAATAACATATCTTATTTCTGCTCTATTTCCTAACCTTTAAAATTTTATAATTATTACGATGTAGAAGAGAAATAAAAAAAAAACATGTTTTTTTAGTAAAATTCAAACTCAAATACTTTGAATTAATGCTTAAGAAATTTAAAACTTCAAATCACAATTTGTAATAGTTGATTGCTTCTGCAAAAAGTAAAAAAAAAAAACACATGATCAAAAATTTAAAACTTCCACAATGTGATAATTTAAACTTCGATTTGATAGCTTCCCTTCCACAAAAAACAGTACAATTGAAAGATTTAACATGAAGTGGAAACAAAAATATCGAAAAGTTAATCATAAATTATTTTTTAAAAGCATAATAAATTAATATGCTTTCCATTCACAATGAATCAAATGTTAATAAAAGTTTTAACTAAAGTTCAATAAAAAAACAACAAAGCTTAATTAACATAAAAGTATTAAAAAATCATACAGTTAATTTTCCGGAACTATTACATTTTTTTTCTTCACTTTAGATTTCAATCCTAAATTAAGCAATTTTCATCAAAATTTCAATCGAATCCTTAACTTTATCACTAAACAAACTGCTCTTAGCAAATCAATATATCCAACTTTAAAACTTTTATTTCAAATAATTTATAACAAATTCAAAAAAAAAAAATTCAGTAGCCTAAAATACTGAAAGAATTATTTGAATATTTTACCTGATCACAAGATACAACAGTATCAAGGACACGTAATGAATGCACGAAATTCAGGATCAGTAAAAACGGAAATAATTGCAGTAATATTGAAAGTATATGGTGATCAGACATCATTAACTGCTATTAACTACAATAATTCAAGCACATCCAGAATACAAACAACTGTAGTAGTAACTACCTTTGCAGAAGTAACAATAATGAAGACAGGAGAGGGAGAATGAGAGAAAGGGAGAGAGAAAGAGAGCGAGAAGTAATACCACCTAATTAAAAAGAATATCGTACGATTATTTCAATTCCTTTTACCTTCCTCCATCCTTCCCTTTTCAAATTTTTTAAATAGATACCTCAAATTATCGGCATAAATATTTCATTGGTCATATATAGATAAGCTCATACAGTCATATTTCTTCTTACTCTGTCTACTCCATTTATCGGAGTGGTAATGATGCAGTAAATCTTACAATGGGACGGATCAAATGTAATTCACTACCTTCCGAGATAATTGGCACATTTTCTCCTCGATGGTATTCAATCAGTTCAACAATTGTTTCGAATACTTGTTGTTGCTTACGAACCTACAAGAATTCTCTGTTAATTTCAAACTATAAATAATAAATAAACATTATATATAGAGAGAGAAAAAAAAAACTAATGATTTCAAAAAAAAAGAAATCACCTTTTGATCGTTTTCATCTAATAACAAAAAATGTCTCGCAATTGAATTTGCAATTCCAGAGAGCACAAAATTATTAGCAGTGTTCGGACTAATACGAACCAAAAAATCTCCTTCATTTCGCAGCATAGATTCGGCGGTAGCACGTTCCATTTCACCATGATACCAAGGTTGTCTATCGAGACCCAAAGCAGCTGGCAAATTACATATGTTCATGGAAGTTTGATCTGAAAAAGCAAACATATCATACTACATCGAATTTACTAATGAATTACCAAAATATAAATATAAATGTTTGCATAAATATAAATATTACTATAAATACAAGTGTATATATGTAATTAATAACGAATTAATAATGAAACTAGATATATCGTCAAATTCATTTAGTAATAACAGTAATGTTCATTAATTTGAAAAAACTTCAACGAAGTAAAGGAATAGGAATAGAAAAAAGGAAAAAGAAATAGATAAGAATTTCAAATATTGAGACAAATCAAATTTTATAAATTAAGCATTAAATTTTACTAATTCAATTAACCAGCAAATCACTAAGGTGGAAAAAACATTGAAATTTAATCCAAATATATAAATTTTACCATATTTCGAACTCGATTCTGATGATCTTGCCATTTTTATGCTCAACTTATTACCATGCCCTAGAAAGACAAAAATAAGTTGGAAAAATAATACTTTTTGAATAAACAAAAGTGTAGAAAATTTTACAGGAATGAATGTTTTCATAGTAAACCTAGGTAAAGTGAACAGTATTTGGAAAAAGAAAGGAAGAAGTATTTGGACGATGAAACTGCACTACCAAAATATAAATGTGAATTCGAATCCCTTTTTTTTTAACCTTTATTATTTAATCGAAATACTTGAAGAATAGTCTCCATAATAAAATCGACATTCTTATCAGGTTCCATAAAAACTAAGCATCGTCTTCCAAGTTCTCGAACGTGTGATACAAAGCAAAACACTCCTTTGGTACTTTCCTGAAGGAAGGAAGGAGATGGAGAAAGAAAGTAATATAATTCTAGGAGCAGAACTTTTTTAAATGGAAAATTGTCAGTTTTATACAACACTTTAAAAAGAATTCCTCAGCATTGATTCCTTTAGTTATTTGGAATAGTTCAACCTTAGTGAGTCCATCCAAATATGAGAGATATGATTTCATTTACAGTTTTTACAGTCCTTTCCATGAAGCCTCCACTTTCTTGAAAGTGAAAAGCAAAACTTTTTAATTTCCTACAATGTTTGCCATTCTTGAAATATTATCAATATAGCAATGTGCAAAATCAGACATTAACAATGATGCATTTAAACTAAAAGTTAGCAAAGATATCAAAAAGCAAAACTTTTTAATATCCCTACAAAGTTTGTCATATGAGTGAAAAGCTTAATAAAGTGTAATAAGTCAAAAATAATATTTCGAATTATTCTTCTAAATAAATAATAGAACTGATAATGTTCGTATTAAATCAATTTAAAATTTAGTAAAAGCAGACCTCTGTACCGGATGAAGCATATGAAATAACATGGATAGGATGTCGTTCCAAAATACGTATACCATCTTTATCCAGAATTATAAAAGCATGTAATGCCACATTTAGTTCAACATTTTTGTCTTCAACCTTCACTTCGCCTAATTTCTGCAATTAATTTATTGATTTTATTTTCGTAACAAAAAAATTATCTCCATCTCCAAGTGAGCATGCTAATTCGTTTCATACAAGTGAAACAATCAATCACTTTTTATCTGACTAATTGATCAATTAAAACTAGTCTGTCTCGCATTTTATCATTTTTATTAATTTGCATTTCAAAACTTGTTAATTTCTGCAATTAGCTAACCTAATAAATCCAATAAAAACAAAAGCAAAATATGTCTTATTTAATTCCCAATTATATTTACGATAAGACAAGTTATTCAGCAAAAACAGATAGTAGCACTACATTCTAACAGGTCTGGTACAACAATTTTAGATTACTTTTAATAAATTTTAACTTACATCAAGCAGTTGCTCATCAGGCCTCAAATTTTCATTACAAATACCCAATTGATGACAAATACGATACATGCAATGCCTGAAAGATAGAAATTTATAACAAAATTATCACTTTGCAAGCCAAAACATTGATACAGCTTTCGGTAACGTTGTTCTTATTAAATAACGAACAGTACCTTGTCCAATTATCTCTCACTTCAGGTTTTTTCTTCGTTAACGATTCAAAAACCTGCACCGATCCAAGATACTGAAATAATATTCGTCATAGATAAAATTGTACAAAAACATCTTTTTTTACAGAAACACAAACATAAACAGCAATTTGAAATTTATGAAATTCTGGTATATTTTCAGTAAAATGTACCTTTAAATAAAAAGTTTGACCCGTTTTCAATTCTTTCAATAGTTCCTCATCGCTTGGAGATATAACATCTCCATCTTCCAACATCCTTAATATTCTTGAAATTATTATTCAATCAAATCATTTCTTAAAGAAATCACTTCAGATATATAAACATTTTTTAATTTGTAACATTGAAGATGCATATGCTACTTAGATATTTCTTGCAGTGAAGTCCACATCAATTAATACTTTGACGAAATTGCAGGAAATAATAAGAAATATTCAATATCTATATGGTCAGTACCGATAATCAAGTCGAAGAGAAGAAAATTACCTCAAGTAAAACCTAATTTACATATCTTTCTGCCTACAGTTAACCTTTCGGTATTTTTTTTCACTGAAATGATCATTGGAATGATCATTAGTAAACAAAAATTAGAAGACAAAAAAGTTTGAGACATATACGTATGCGCAAACATTTCTCCTATACACACACACTATTAGCGTACAGATTTGAATATTATACATATAATTCATATAATTCTGCCCCATTAAAAAAAATGCCATATATAAATCCCATAATAATTTAATTACTCAAATAGATTGAAGAAAACTCGGTAAAGAAAAATTCTAATTATCATTGCTTATTATGTTAATTTTATGAATTTGAAGAGCACTTGAAAATCACTTAAAATTTACAGTCAAATATTTTAGCACTTAAACATTCGCAGAACACCCAATATAATAAGAATTAAGAATTAAAACATATTTAAATATCAAACTTTAAAAAGAAAAGAAAAAAGTCTACGCACTTTCACTTCCGCCATTGTTACTATATTTTTCTTATCTAACAGACAGGACGTAACCGCATTTTTCGCTGTTTCATGAAATCGTGACCCGGGCGTTATTGTATTTCATTTTCATTTATTTAATTAGTTCATTACAGTTCTTTCATTTTCGATATTTAATTCTTTAATTTACAACGATGACAAATTATCGACTTTTTATTTTGATATTCCGAGTTAACTGATTTATAAGAAGGAGTAAAACGGAACTAAATGCTTTCATTAATTGAATTTTTTTTTTTTTTTTTTGATATATTAATGAATTTAATAAACAAAGTGGTACAAACTATCCGTCGTTAGTATGGTAGAAGTAAGGAAACGTGTCTCTATGTTTTAGAAAGTATTAAAAAAAATATTAGTAGAATAAAGAATTATAAATTCTTTGGATTTTACTTTGTTTGTTTTTTTATTATATTAATACTTTTATTATAATTGTTTTTATCCATACGCATGCTCCAAAGAATAATCCAAAGTCAGTCAATATTTTTTTGGCTTAAACAAAGTTTTACTCCCAAATTATTAAATTTTGATTACCTGGATACTAATCCAATTCATAACCAAATTTTGAATGTTTATTTAAAAAATAAAAATGAAAAAACTAAGACATTCTACAAAAATAATAGAGACAAAAAAAAAGACACAACGACAAAGAAAGTTAAAAATTAGAATGTATAACTGGTTGTTCTGGAACACTTATAAAACAATGAAAAACTACCAGTGAACGAAAAATTACACACCCAATAAACTAAAAATAAGTAATATCTTAATACAACCAAAACCAAATCAAACTTAATATTATGAAAAAATAAAACATAACCTTGTGAACTCCGAAATTCTTAAGACTAAAAAAAAAAATATCAAACCAATAACTCCAGACATAGTCCCGAAACACAAAAAAGCTTTTTAAGCTTTTTATTCCGATATTCCGGATTAACTGATTTATAAGGAGTAAAACGGAACGAAATGCTTTATTAATTGAATTTGCACCTAATACTGTTATTTTCAGGAAGATGGCTTTAGTATCATCGTTGAAGAGAAGCCTTAACTCATCAGCATTTGGTCGTCTTAGCACCACATATTTAAACTCATTTGATTCATTCATGTAAGAACTTATTCCAGTTTCTATTTTGAGATTTTAATTTATTTTACTAACCTTAGCTGAACTTCATTTAATTTGATTGAACTAATTTTCTTTTCATCTCAATTCTTATTAGTTGAATTTACTGCTTTCACTTTTTTTTTTTGTGCATTTTCAGTTCTTTGATTTAATTCGCCACTTACAAGTCATTTTAATTGTTTTAGTCTTCATTTTGACTCGGCTCATTTTATCCTATTAAATTTTATTTGAGTTCTCTCAGCTTCATATACTTCATTCTACCTTAATTCTATTTTAGTTTAGATTGTATGTATTATGTTCTGATTTTAATCTGTGTTAATTTAATTTTGTTTCATTTTACTTCAGCAGTTGCTTTATTCTTTATATTTACAACAGTTCACAGAACGAATTTGGTGTTTCAAGAAGGATTTTTTTTAGGAATAGTTCTACCTTAATTCAACGAAGAGGAGCTGTTCGAGGAAAAGCTAATTTTGTCGTGAATTTCGTCCCACAGCAGGAAGCTTGGGTAGTTGAACGCATGGGGAAGTTTCATTCTATTTTAGATCCTGTAAGTATTTGTTTCCATCTGAATACTTTGTTAAGAAGAGATGAATTTCTCATTTTGGATAAAATATGATAAAAATTTCCCGAAATTAATTTTGGAAATAAAGTTTTGCAGGGATTCAATATTCTACTACCATTTCTCGATCGTATCAAGTATGTACAAGTTTTGAAAGAGTTAGCAATTGAAGTACCACAACAAGGTGCCGTAACAAGTGATAATGTACAATTACAAATTGATGGAGTTCTCTATTTACGAGTAGTTGATCCATACAAAGTATGTAAAGAAGCTTCTTTTTTTTCTCTCTCTCTCTCTCTCTCTCTGTGATTTGCTATTTCTCCTATATTTCTTGAATTTACACATTTTCATTTTGCGCATTTTAAAGACACGAATGGTAGCGGTTTATGATTGGATTTATGATTAATTTATGATTGTTGTAAAATGTTAATTTGATTAAATTTATCTAGGCTTCATATGGTGTTGAAGATCCAGAATATGCGATTACACAGCTTGCACAAACAACGATGCGTTCAGAAGTAGGCAAAATCAATTTAGATACAGTATTTAAGGAACGTGAACAACTGAACATTAATATTGTCGGTATGTTTTAAGCAGTGCTAAAATAGTGTTGTTTTCATGTTAACTGTGAAACATTATCATTTAATTAGCTAAGCTAATAAACTGTACTGATAACAAATACTTAAGGTTGCAAAATCACTTCATATATGATAATTAGTTGACTTGGAGAGCACCACAGACTATTGTTTTCATAAAAGTGCAACAAAAGTATGTGTGAAAAACAAAATAATAGATGTTGCTATATATATTGCGGTTATGTTAATGAGGGAATACTTGCGCTAGGTTGATCACATTTTTAGGCTGGAAGATTACCTATTGTCCAAGATTATGCTCTATAATGAATCCTAACTGACTGTCACATAAATGTCACTAAGAAGAAATATAAGGACTTGCTGAAACAATCTCTCAGACATATCAATAATCCACTCTACCGTTTAATTGAGAGATATGAAGATGTGATATCCTACCATCTTTGAAAATATACGTAAGAACCTGTTGCATAGAGGAAAGTAACTTATTAAAAAGCGCATTCAGTTCATCTTGATTGATTTCTTCAGCAACTAACGCATTTGTAGCAAATAGATGCATTTATTGCTTGAGTTCGTGAACGAAGATTTGTGAAATTAATTAGTTTTAAAGTTACTTTGTTAATTTGTGGAATTAAATGTAGGTGTTTTACATTTGCAGAAAACTAGAAATAATTCTTTAAGAGTTATGATGAAGACTATGTCTTGCCTGAAAAGTTTTCATATTTTGCAGAATCAATTAATAAAGCAGCCGAGCCTTGGGGATTGCAATGCATGCGATATGAAATTAGTAAGTGTTTGTTTCAGTTGTTTCAGACTTAATTTCGAAGTTTTCCAACGTTGAAATTATTTTAGTAGTGGTTGTTTTGAAACGAATTTTGTTGAATTAATTCTTTACTTTTAAATTGATCATTCTGTTTATGATACTTGCAGTAAAATGGAAGTAAAACTTCTTTTAAAAAAAAATGAGTTAGTTAATATAAGGTGATTAAATCGTGTCAAATTTTAGGGGACATGACGATGCCTATAAAAATTCAGGAAGCAATGCAGGTCCTTTTTCTTTTCTTTTCAGAAGTTCATCTATCTTTGGAGTATATTTTGGCACTTCAATTTTTTGTATAGTCTTATTGTACTTTATCAACGCAAAGCGTATTAACCATGAATATTAATAATCAATAAAAAGTGTTACATTCTTTGTTAAATTTCATTATGCCATGATGTGCATTCGAAAATGCTCGGAAATTTTCGTTGTATTCGTGTCATAACCAAGAAACTTGTAGCAAGAGAAGGGAAAGAAAAGAAATTGAATGAGGTCACTCTTTTATATTTTAGATGCAAGTGGAAGCGGAACGGCGGAAACGAGCCGCAATTTTGGAATCAGAGGGTAAACGTGAAGCAGCAATTAATATTGCAGAAGGTGAAAAACGAGCACGCATTCTGGCATCAGAAGCTTCGATGCAAGAAAAAATTAATGAAGCCAAAGGAAAGGTAGCTAATTTAATGAAACAATCTACATAACTTTTTTTTTTTGATGACATTTTGTCCAGATTAAGTGATTAAACACGAACAGAAATTATTAGTAATAGTTGTTGATACCTAAAAAACAGACAGAATTTGAATACCAGTAGTATGAAAAATTTTCGGGTTTTATTTGAAAATATATTACAATTTATTTATACCAAAAATTTTTTCTTTCAACAACACTATTACGAGTACTATAAGCTATATGTGCTAATCATGTCATTTTATAGAGACTTTGAGTAAGGCTGTTTAAAATAATAACTAATTTTTAGGCAGAAGCCATTCAGATAAATGCACAGGCTCAAGCTTTGAGTATTAAATTGGTTTCGGAATCATTAAATAAAGCGGGTGGCTATGATGCGGCAGCGTTATCGGTAGCTGAGAAATATGTAACAGCTTTTGGACAAATAGCTAAAGAAACAAATACAATAATTGTACCATCAGATTTGGCTAATGCAAGCGGTATGGTTGCTCAAGCAATGACTGTTTATAATGAATTAGCAAAAAAGAAGGAACCATTCATGTAAGTTATCAATCAAAATTTTTTTTACAACTTAGTATAAGGTATGGATTCTATCTCATTTCAGTATTTTCAAAATTATCTCAATTTTCTGTCAATGCAATTTTGTTTAGGCTTTCATTGAAACAAAGTGGTCCTGAAACAAAGAATGGTGGAGGAAAACTTTCTTAGGTTTTATATCATTGATAGCAAATATTTTTATTGTTTAATTGAAACTGTTTCGCACAATTTATTATTTTCATATTTGCACCTCAACCATCAAATATATCTCCTATTTTTTATCTTTATGTTTGAGAATCCATTTCTTTTTCAATTTTCTAGTTTAAAAAAAAGTATCCATTTCTATTTCATTTCACTACTGATTTTATTTTTATTTTACACGAATTGTTTTTATTTCACAAGTACATATCATTCTTGCAACGGAGAAATTTGTTAGTTTTAGCAAAGTAAACATTCTGTTGCTAAATGAATTCAAAAACTGTGAAAATTCGTAATTTTTTTTTTCTTTAGAGAAAAAAATACGAAATTGTTCATAATAGATTAATGAGAATGCTTAAAATTGAAAGCACAATTCTTCCCATCGTAAAAAATTTGAGCTTAAATTATGAATAATTCATTTATAATTGTTTCTAAAATGAAACTATACCGCACTGGACATTTATAATAGTACTGTTATCATTTACAAAATTCAAAAATATTACATTAATGAATGGTATGATGAGAGAACAGTTAATATTATAGCCGACGATAATTGTGAATTATTTTGTTCTATCAGAATATTTTGCATGACGGGTCTATGTTTTACATTTAATTTTGTTAATTTTTTTTTTTTTTTAATGCAGAATAAAAATGTTGAGGTTAGTAATATTTGCCTACAAATTGATATTCACAAGTTTTGCAATTATTAGCAAAAAAAACTTATAAAATATCTCATCCTAGTAACAAATGAATGGATAAATAAATTAGCATTAAATCATTAATCATTTAGTAAATTACAAATTATGCAAATGCAAAATCTTATCATTATTTCAATTCGATGATATGTTTGTTTTTATGATATACTGCCAATATTTACATAGGTAAAAAAAAAAAAAAAAAAAAAAAAAACATTTGTTAAAAAATTAATACCTATGTACGTTGATAAAATTAAAGTGCGAAATTTTCAATAATTCTTATCAAAATTAACAAAAAATCAAAACTTTATTTGAATAAACAATAAATAAAAGCTTATCCTGTTCCGTTAAATACGGATATGGAAAGTACGAATGAAATCTGGTGAACGTGAAACGACATGTTCAAATTCGGCATATGATATTTGCTCATCACCATCGAGATCTGCTTCTTCGATTACCTAAAAAGAATGGAAAAATGATAATTTGAGGGTTATTTTGAAATTTTTAAAAAAGGTAAGTGGAACTTTTTTTTTTTGTGCTATAAAAATACTATAAAGTAAATTGTAAACAGATCTATAAATGTAAGAATGTACAATTCTCAAATCGTTTTAATTTTTTTCTTCAGAGTCAATTTTGAACTGATTCCATTTTTAATTTTAGTAGTTTGAAGCAGCTAAAAAATCAATTGTTTATTAAGAACTAAAAATGACATTATTACATTTCTTTCTCTCACATAAAAATAAGCCAATGACTTTCCTATTATTTTATTACATTCTAATTTAATCTATTAGTGATCAAAATATTTTCAATTATTATTAATTGATATTAAAAAATGTGGTGGAGCGAAAAAGTTATTTATAAAATTTGAAATATATTATCTTACCCTTTCAATGATAAATTCAACTTCTTCATCTGATAACTCATCACGCGTTAAACATCGAATAATTTTGCTTAAATCATCGTGACCAAGCTGATCATCACCATCAAAATCTATAAAAAAATATTTATTTCATTATTTTATATATTTCATTTTCATAATTTCATATTCTACCTGTAACATGGTAAAAACAATTAAATTTAATTGCAACAGATGGATTATATAAAATCTTTTAAGCTCTTTTGTTTTTGCATCATTCATTTTATAAGGATTTCAAACGTTTGTTTTTATTTCATTTTCATTATTTCATACTTTTCACATATTTGCTATTTTAACTTGATATTTTTGACACATTTTACTATCTTACTACTTCATTTCATATATCTGCTGATTATTATATTTTATATATTTATAATTTCAATTTAATATACTTCATATATTTATCACCTTAATTTGGTATGCTTAACATATTTTACTACTTTATTTCACATATATATATTTATTTGATTTTCCTATTCATATATTTAGCAGTTTATAACTTCTATTTTTTTTTATAAATTCATCTAAAACAACTTTAATTGAAAAATACAATTTTGTACATAATAAATCAAAATTTATATCGATGTAAATATATAAAGGAAAATCACATACCGTATATTCGGAATGCGTATTTCAATTTGAGTTGTAGCGGTGCCATTTCACTAAATACGGAAAACATATCCAAAAAATCATCAAATGTTAAATTTCCAGCGCCATCATCAGAAAATACTTGACAAATTCGTCGCCGGAACGGATTTTCCTAAAAATTAAAAAAGTATTCAATCAAAATTTCTTTTTTTCAGTCTTTTTCTTTCTTTCTTTAATCAATTCATAGCTATAATAACAACAATAACAATAATAATAATAATAATAATACCCGTAGTTCAGGCATTTTTTCAATTTCTTCAAAACATAATGTTATAATAGCCGGACGGTTTCCTTGCATATTTGTTGGTACTTTGATTGGATTCAGTGCATAGAATCGTTTATACAACCGTATAATATCTTTTCTTGTGAAAAATGTACAATCCTGAAATAGAATAATTCACAATGCTATCTAAAAAACTCAAATTTATAATGCTAGAATAGAATAATGCATAATCTTGAAATATAAAAATATACAAATCTATCTAGGATGGAATAATGTACAATCCTAAAATCTGAAAACCTGAATATAATCCTGAAATAGAAAATTATGCAAAACTATCTAAAATAGAATAATGTATAATCTTGCCAAATAAAGATATATATATATATATATATATAAATCCTAAAATAAGAACAGAACTTTTTTTTATTTTAATAAATACCATTAAAAGAAATACTTTTTAAATTTTTTTTTATAATATTTATTCCTTATATACTTTTTTCATAATATTTATTCCTTATAATAATGGTATTCCTCATAATACATTATTCTTTTGTTTTTTGTGTTTTTTTGTCCAATTTTGGCAAAACTGAATGTTGCAATTAATTAATTAATTAATCATGTCATTTTCATCAATGATATGATAATTAGTAAAATTAATTAATCTTTCTTCACATTAATATTATTTTTACCAATCAACAGTTAAATATTAGGAATAATTATTTGCATTAATGTATTTATTTTAGCATTAATATAATTCCTGTGGTACTGTAGTACCGTATACCGACACTGTAGATCTGCGGTATTACGGTATTACAAAAATTACTTTTGTGTATTTTTGATTAAAAAATTTCTGTTATCAATTAGCTTTCACTAACAACAAAATGATGTGATAATTGTCAATATTTACTGATAACAAAATGATATGATGATAATGATATAACCTTTCATTTAATTCCTCTGATAACCATCACTAACATTTATTATTAAAATTGATAAAATTAACCTGATATTCATCGATTTGATCTCGCGTAAAAATACCACCCTTAGAGAATAAGTTTAAATCGGTAAGTGAACTACCAGTATTGCCCATAATTCATCTGTGAACAAATCATAATTAGTTGGTTAAGAAATATTTTGAAATAAGTGAAAATAATGTTTGATATTAAGGTAAAGAAGCTAAATAGTTAATCATATCTCATTAATTAGTCAGTTAGTTAGTTTAGCTACTAGCTCCTATAGCTAGCTAACTAACTAGCCACCTTGGAAAGCAACAGCAAAAGCTAACTTAAAGCTTAAAACCTTTTCGTCTCTCGTTTCATCTCAAAAATAAAATTTACTCCATTTTCCTTTCACTCTCTATCCCTACAATTTATCTTTCTTTGTTCATCTACCCATCTCTCTCTCTCTCTCTCATCCTTTCTCTTTCCCTTTCCTCTTTCTACTTACTACATTTTATTCCATTTTATCCATTTACCCTTCAATTTTCATTTCTCTCTCCTTTCCTTCTCTTTCTTCATCTCTCTCTCTTTCTCTTTCTCTCTCTCTCTCTCCCATTTCGCTTCATTATCATCTATGAATGAACATTTATCAAATGAAATCATCATTCAACCATAATATCTTCATTCTTTCAATTAAATTATCGAATGAAATTTACGAGAGAGAGAGAGAGAGGGGGGAGATAAAAAAGAGAGAGAAAGTGAAAAAAGAGAGAGAATGAGGGAAAAGAAAAGAGAATGATAAGATTTTAATTAAATGTAAATCAAACTTTGCTCAAATTTCCTTATTGTTATAACATAAAATGACAAAGAATTATGTTTTTAAAGAAATTATTACAAATACTTTTAAAGATTATTTTTGAAAATTTAAAAATTTAAATAATATTTTTTCATTTGTTCAATCAATCGATCAATCGATCAATCGACCAATCAATCAATCGATCAATCGAATCAATATTTATAGATTAGATACAATTGCACTAATTATACCGCATTAGCATATAATTAATATATTATCATATTGATTAGTTTAATTTAGAATTTTCATTAAAATATTAAGAAAATGAAAATTGGTGTAATATTAAAAGTTAAAAACATAACAAATTGGCTGTTACCAAATGATATAAAAATTCAATTTATGAAAATTCAACATTTAATGAAGGTTCAATTATTGAAGTTATGTATGAAAATTTTAATTAATTTATATTAACAAATATTTACATTGAAATAAAATTTATTTATTGCATCTTTAAATATTTAAATTAGTTTTTAAAAAAAAGTCTCTTTCAAAATTAGAAGAAATTAAAAATAAATAAGAATGGAATTGGCAATACATACATTGTCTAAAAAAATGTATATGTGTAGTTTGAAAAATTTTTATTTAATTATTTTTTTTTTTGCAAACTTATTTATTTCTTTGAAAAAATAATCATATATAAATTTTCTTTATCATCGCATATATCTTCTTTATCAGTTTAGTGATTAATTTAAAACAAAATAAATTGTTTGTTAACAATTACAATTTTATCTGATAGCGCTGCAATTTTTGACACATAAAATACGATAAAAAGTATTAATTGAATTTAAAGTCTTATGACACTTTTCAATTTTTTTTTAATTTAAATAAACAACAATTTTTATGCATACAATAATTTTTTCATCAAAATATATTGTCAAATATATTAATGATTAAGAACGATTTGCATTTGTTTTTAGTTACTGATTATTTGTTTATATTATTCAGTGGAACAAATTTTTAATATTGTTCAAAATCATATTAAAAAATTTTTTGAAAAGAAAAATTTAATTTATTATTGTTGGATAATAATTAGTTCAAAAAAAAATTAAATAAATAAATAACCTCATTAATTAATATATATTAATAAATACACTCGTATTTAATTTGAATATTCAAAAAGAAGAAAAGAAAGAGAAAAAGAAAAACATAGCATTTATTATTTCTTATCTTTTATAAAAAAAAAAAAAAAAAAAAAAATTTAATTTAATCATTGATTTGTAAACAAATAACTTAAATAAACAATATTTTTTATACTAATTTGATTATTACTATTATTATTAGAGTAAAAGTAGTAGTCAAGTAGACAATAAATTTATTCAACTTTTTCTTTCATTCTTCTTTTTTTTGGAAAAAAAAAAAAAAGTTTGTTTTCTTTTTTTAAAAAAATTTCTGTTATTCGATCAGAAAATCAATGTTACAGTATCAGTACCATCAGTAATGCTTAAAAATTCATCATCTATTCAGTTATCTTTTTTAAAAAAAGAAAAATTTATTTTATTTGTATTGCATTTCCATTTTTCAAACAGTCATGCAAAATGGTAATAAAAAGGAAAATAATAAAAAGTACAAATGTATAATTTGTAAAGGAAGGAAAAAAAGAGCAAACAAATAAAAACAGAAATAAATAAATATAAGAGATTATGGTGAAAGGAATAATAAAATTTTAAAAATATCCTAGGAGAGAGGGTAAAGGATTTATTTATTTTTAAATATAATTTTAATAATTTTAGTATAATTTTAAATAAAATACAATTTTAATTTTCCCTTTTTTTTGTATATAAATATATATGGCATTTAAAAATTTTAGATTTTATCAAATATAAAGTTTTTTTTTGAATAATTTTTGAATTTTACAAATTGATTGAAGAATTACAAATATTTAGCAATTTATTCAATTCATAAAATATTAAAAAAAATTTTCTATTAATGTTTTTTTCTTCTTATGCATATTTATAAAATATTTCAAATTTATCATAGCTAATGAGAATTTTAATTAGTTAATACTATTTGTATATATGTTAAAATAGAATTTAACGGATTAATTAACAGACAAATCAATTAGTAATTTTGAAAAGTTTTTTATTTATGGCATTTTTTTTTTTATTATTATTACTCTAATCAAAACATTACGGAGTAAAATTTTCTTAAAATTCAATTAACCGTTTCTTTTTTCGTTTTTTTTTTCTATTTTTTTAATACTTAAAAAATTAATTTTATCAAATATAAAGCTATTTTTCTGGAATAATTTTTGAATTTAACAAACTGATTTATAAATATTTATCAATTTATTCAATTTATAAAATATTAACAAATATTTTCCATTAATGAATTTTATTTTGTTGCACATTTATTATTTTAAATTTGTCCTAACAAATGACATAAATTAATTTTCTTTGCATAAAAAATTAAATAATAAATCAATTCTTAATACAATAATATTCTCTATTAAATGATTAATTTGAAATATATTTTGTTAATAAATTAAAAATGTAATCTAACTAAAAACATAGATGCAAGCACTCTATTTTTTTTGTTTTAAAATAAAGTAGTAATACAAATTTTAACAAGTAAAATACATAAGTAAGTGAACATTGTCAGATTATTATCAATCATATAAATTTAATCCAAATTTCAATTTATATGAAAATCCATCCTTCATGTTTAACAATTATTTCTATTTACAATGTTAAAAAAAAATGTTTTATAGATTAAACTGTTATCAATTAGATATATCATTACGTGGTGATAAAATTACTGATAAGATAAAAATGAAAACAAATTTAAATGATTTCAAATATAAATGAAAAAAAAATGAATTGTAATTTGATTATTTTTTTCTTTCTTTTTTTTGAACTAATAACATAATAAAACTTTACTGTTGTTGCTGAAAATTTTGTCCGGTAGTGTTTGGGAAGAACTGATCCGGAAAAGCATTTTTATGCTAACCGTAAAATGATTTAAGGATTCAAAGTTGATAAAGCTAGAGATTATGTAGTGATAACTGATATGGTGATAATTATTGTATATTGCAACTATTAGTTATATTATGTTACCATTTTAGTTAACTTTAAACTTAAAAAAACAAAAAAATAACTTAGTTGGTAAAATTATAGAATAGAATAAATAATTTATAATTGGAAGTTAGCATTTAAAAAAGGAAAAAATTCTTTTCGTTTTTAATTAAAATCACAGATTATTGTAAAATTATTATTTTAAAAACATTTTAATATAAAATTTTTGATTTTAATCTGCTAAAGTTGACCTTTTTCTTCTAATTTTGTTTTATTTTCACAGGTTATGATGGTTTATGTATTATTATTATTATTATTATTATTATTATTATTATTATTATTATTATTATTATTATTACAGATATAATTTTACGCGACTCATTAGTTAAAGTGTCAAAATAATCTGAAGTATTAGTTTTAAATAATTTAAAATATAGAACCAAAAAATTTAAGTGGAATATTTATACACAAGTAGAGAGGATAATTTTTAAAAAAATGTAATTGTGATTCATTACTTTTTAGGATGAAATTCCCACATGAAATATAATTGCGAATTTGATTTATGAATGATAATAATGGTAATGATGATATTATCAGTTTCTGCAATCATTTTAATATTTTATTAAAAACTAAACAATAATTGTTTTGCTCGCCAATTTCTCGCCAAATTTTAAGTAGCTTATAGCTTATCACTTTTCTAACTTATCACTTATCAAACCATACATTTTTATTCTTTTCATTTCCTAGTCTTACTTAAATTTCATCAGCCCTTTTTTTACTTATCTAGGAAGTTTTAAAAAAGTTCTTTTTTGCTTGCTAATATTTAAATGTAATTGTTATCACTTACTTATACGATGAAAGTAAGCATACTAATTATTATAATACTATACTTAATGGTTTAGTAAATAAATAATGAATTAGAATTTTTTTTTCGATGTTTAAAACAATGCAATAATAGCTTTTTTATTTTTGGTTAGCTTAATTGTGAATTAACACAATCAAACAATTTAATATAACACTGTAAAATGAATATTTCATTATAAATCCTCAAAACTTCTACAATTCAAAAATTTACAGATTCCAAATTTTTGGAAAAAAAAAGTATAAAACTATTAAAATTGAACTGTAATTAATAGTAATATCAATTGTTTGATTATTTTCTGCATTTAAACATTAAATATTTAATTTAGGTTAATAATGGATTGATATAATTAATATCAAATATATTCAATTTCCGGAATTTACCATTTCAAATTATTTATCCAATGAATAGCTGTAATTAATA